GCGAAGTCTGACCTTGAAGGAATATGGTAAGGAAGGTAGATTTTTAACTAGAGTCCTGACCTACTCAATTTGGTTCCAACCTCCGAGAGCAGGGCCTGGACATGTGCATTTGCTTCTCTCAGACAAACTGCTAGTTAGGGATCACGCAGGACTGAGGACAGACTGACTGGTGTGGAATAGAAGGAAACCATTAGGGAATCTAACACAGGTGTCCCGCCACAAATGGGGATCGCCTGACCTAAGGGAAAAGGAGTGGTAGTGGGGATGCAGACAAGACAGGCAGTGAACAGAGGTACAGTTAAGCAGAATCTGGCAAGCAGCTCGATGTGACAGGAAGGGGTGTGCAGGCTCCCCCGGGTTCTTCCTTGGGTGAATGAACAGACCAGTAGATCAATACATAAGCAAGAAAGAAGTGCAGGGCACAGGATGAGTTTATAGGTAACCACTTACAGGTCTATGTACCATTTAAAGGGAAACAATCAAGATGGTTAAATAATGAGCTCAGGATGGATGACTTCATGGCTCTCTAAGCTTGAATTCCTACCTCCCTATTGCAGCAAAGACAAGTATCTCTTGCCCTGACTGGTGTGGCTCAATAAGTTGGGTGCTGTCCCACAAATGGAAAGGCTGGGAAAGGTTGTCAAGTTCGATTCCCCATCAGAGTGCCTGCCTGGGCTACTGGCCAGGTCCCAAGGTGGGAGCTTGTGAGAGGCAACTGATTAATGGTTCTCTCGCACATGGCATTTCTCTCCCTCTCTTCTCCCTTCCTTCCCTTCTCTCTAAAAACAAATAAATCTTAAAAAAAAAAAACAACACAGATACAACAAATATCTCGAACATTCAGTGATACTTCTCAATGGAATGAGAATATTTTCAAGTGTGCCGGTACAATAAAATGTGAAATCAACAGCCTCTTTAGAGTTGTAACAAGATCAGAAAAGATCCAAGAACCAGGAGACAAATGTTTTTGTTCTAGTATAAACCTTAAAAAAAGGTTCAAATGTTGCAATAACTGAGTATATTCGTTCCCAGGGCCTGTCCGTATTATCTTCTAATAGAGAAACATTTACAAAGTGTATCTTTAAAGGAGGCGGAATTATTCCACTTTACTGGGAACATGAATTCCAGATAAAAAGTGCAATGCTTTTTTCAATTTCCCAAAACCCAGAGTGGATTCAGGACACTTACACGGACATAACACCATCTGTAAAACTCCCTTCACCTCCTGACACACACAGCATATCAGTATCAGACACACTCACTGCTCTGTTGTCAGCTACCCAATATCACAGATTATAAACCTGAACTCAAAAGCACACCAGTTTATTGCTGAATACAACTAATTCGAAGGAAGGAAGTGTATTTTAGTGACTCTTCCTCCTCATTCACAAGTGATCATGGATTGAAAGCATACCAGTATGGATGGAGTCCTGAGGAAAAATCACTTACCCAGGACTAAAACATTACTAACAAATCTCAAATACTCTTCTCAACAGTTACACCACTAGAACTAATAAAACGTCGCTCCTCTCTTAAATTCACAAATTTTCCCACTGAGAAAGCCCTTCTGGGAAGATATTCAGCTGGAGGGCCCTTAGAGGAACTGTGTGCAATTGAGGCTGAAAAGAAATTATGAGACTGCAATCAATTTCCTCAGCCACACCTTCAGGTTTCACTTTTGTAGCTATTTCCCGCCTGACTGAAGCAATGGTTACAATCTAGTTATCTCCGTTAAGGCTGAATTAGCTTCCTGAAAATTAAAACATATTTTATGTTTTGTTAACATTGTAATTTCTAAAAAGAGTTCTGAAAAAAGGCTAATCCTTTTGGCCAGCGATTTTTAGCTTTTCTTCATCTCATGGCACATATAAACTACTAAAATTCTGCAGCACAGCAAAAAATATATTTTTTGCCAATCTGACACAAAGAAAGGTATAATTTTGATTCAGTCACACCAGATGGCTATTTTGTGTTAGCGGTTGTCATTTTTTAATTTGACAATCTAAGGGAAAAGACGTTAGTGCCCCTGACTAAATAGTCAAATATTGCACGTTTTAAAAATTCTTGTGGCACACTAGTTGAAAAATCACCGCTTTGGGCAAAATTTTTTTAAATTACGACTTTATCACACTTTGCCTAAAATAACTTCTCAGCTCCACATATGCAAATTTCTCCATCTTTAACACTATCTGCAGACAGTCACTGTTACAAAGAAACCTCTGATTCTGAGTGTCCTGGAAAAGTTTTTGAGGAAACCCGAAGTTCTTTAAGATGTCCATTTGATTATTCAACATGTTTACTTTTCACCATTGAAAGTCCCTTTTGTTTCCTTCCCCAACCTGCATCATCCTTTTTTTTTAACTAACCAGACTTAAATACTAACTCTCAAACAATGATCAAAACCATGAAACCATCATTCTCCCTACTGAATTGAAAGAATTTCCATCCACAACTCCAGAAACAACACACCCCTCAATGTATCCTTGAAATAAGAAAGTGGGAGAAGGAAGGTGGAACTTGAGATTCGGAGCAAGGGAGATTTAGCATCTCCTCTCTGCCCACTCAGGTCTGCTACTCCACCTTAAGTAACACTCAACTTATATTTAAGCCTCACAATTTTCTCATTTGTAGAATAAAGAGAACAATACACTAACTTTGTTACTGAAAAGAAACTACATAAATGATCTAGCACCTAACAGGTACTCAGTGTTACATATTTTTTCTAAGCTCCAATTTGCTTACACACACACACACACACACACACACACACACACACACACACTAAAAAACACACAGTGACTCCCCTCTCACACTACTAGGAACCCAAGATTTCCAAACTGGGTCAACTGGGCTAGACTAGGGGACACCAGGATGAATTAGGTCAAGATCCCTGACCCTGAGGAAGTCAGAATCCAGTAGGAAAGACAAGTCAAACACAAATTGCATCATGGTAAACAGAAATATAAGGAAAGTACTGTAGAGTAGGAGCATTTTAGATCTTGCTTCCTGACAACTGTCAGTTTTGGCACAAGTAAACTAAAGTGCTGTAGTTTACTACAACTCATTGTTCCAAAAAAGGGAACAACTCATTCTGAAGGGGGACCATGCAGACCTCACAGGGGAGCTAGGATTGCAGTGGAACCTGGGACTTCCCTGGAAGGGGAGAGGTGGGAGGAAGGCAGCCTTTCTCAGGTAAACAGCGGGTACAAAGGGAGACCACATAACAAGTAAGAGCAGTGGCCTTTGTTGTCAGAACTGAGATCGCAGCTCACCCTCTTCCCCTAAGAGAAAAATTTGTGCAGCTCACAAATCTCTGTGTTCCATTCTCACCTACAAAACGGGAATAATACTATTTCACTAGGGATGAAACATGATCGCGAATGTGAAGTACGGAGCTAGCTAGCTGCACAGAGTAAAAACTTAAAAATAAAGTACTACTGTGAAGGTGAAAGGGTAGAGGGAAGCCAAGGGGCAGGAGGGGAGACTAAACAGTGACTTCCGGTCAACCTAAGAATGATACTTCATGCCAAGTAAGAAGTTAGGATTAACTGCTGAGGACAATAAAGCCACAGAGGTTTCTCAATAGGAGTGAAAGGATTAAACATTTGCTTTAGAAAAAGAAGGGGGGGGGAACCCAACTATCCCTGAAGGGTAATCAAAGGAAAGCACTTGGGAGGACATCTAAGAGATAAGGGCATGAATTCAAATTATTTCAGTAAGATTAGGAAGGAAAGCAGGCACTCCAGAGAAATCTTTCTACAGTATAATTCTCCAGGCTTAACCAGGTGAGCGCATCCGGGGAGCTGAGTAGGGAAATAAGTGAGTAACAGTCCTCTAATCTAGATGACTGGGTGAATGGTGGCGCGCCCACTTCCAATCGAGTTTTATTAAGTTAAACGTCGTCTCCAGCCCTTAATGAACAAAAGAAAGGAAACGTTCTCAGTGAGGGAGGGCCCAGAGGCTGTGACTCCAAATTCCATGTCCAACTCTACTAAGCACTGCTCTGCCCAGGAGGAACCCCAGATCTCCACGTCCCCTCAGGAAACTAGCTCCTGGGCCTTTTTTATTCCCAGCCCACAAACGCTGGAGAGATCTGCTCTGGAGGACGCCGGCAAACACATTTGCGAAAGAATTAAGCCAGTTTAGCATCTGTGTCTTCCCCAAAGGAGCCAATTAGCAAGGAAGCACCCCGCTGCATTCAAGATACAAAGTACCAAGTTATTTTTATAAACTTTGCTTGGTTTTGATTCGAACCACTGAAGCCGACCCCCACCCCCCAAAACGGCACTTTGCCTCATCAGGGAAAAAGATCAGAATGACTAAGTGGTGGGTAGGAAAGGAGACGGGGAAGGAGGACGGCGCCGCGGTCGGAGCCGACCTGCCCGGAGTTGGAACTTGCCAGTGTGTGACTCTGCAGTCACAAGGCGACAGTTTGCTAGAACCCGACGCAATTTCAAAAGACCCACCAAAAACTGCCCTAACTTTCGTCACCCCGCATCCTCCTTTATTCCCCAGCCTGAGCCTCCCGGCCGCCCGAGCTGCGGCCCAGATGAGCGGGCTCCGGGCCGCAGCGCCGTGGCCCAGGGCGGGGCGGCCCCGCCGCACGGGCTCCCGGCCGGGGCTCCGGGGCTCGGGCCTTACCCGCAGGCACCGGTTTGGGGCCTCCCGGCCGAACCCCCACATCAACACCGTTCCCAGTCCGGGAGGCGGCCGTCGCGAAAAGAGGCAGCCGGCTGGGCTGCGGGCGGAGGGGAGCACGGACACGCCGGGCTGGGCTGAGGGGACAGCGACGGCTCCCGGCGCGGCCTGGAGCTCCCGCCCAGGCTGAGGCCTAGGCGGCCCCGTTAGTTCCTTCAGTCCGCGCACGGCCCAGGGGGGCGGCGGGCCCACGTAAGGCGGGAGGCCAGACGGCGGCTGCCCGAAGAGCCCCGGCCGGCCACAGGGGCCCCAGGCCGGCGACGCCGCCCCCCGCCCGGCCGGCGCCGGAGAATGGCTTTTACCTTCATCAGCCTCCTGCTGGCCGCCATCTTGGATCTGGTACTGCTGCCTTCCCAGTGTGCACCACGGCCGACCGGGGTGCTGGAGCCCCCGCACTTCCTGGAGCGGGGGAGGGGCGGCGGAGGCGGGGCACCGGATGTGCAAATCGCCTACTGTGTGCAGGCCACAGCGCCAGAGGCCTGGGTGAACAGAACTAGCAGAGACCCTGTCTTCGTGGGGGTGTCCAATCCGATGGTAATTACAAACGGCGCCTGGCATACAGTAGGTGCACAGTAAATATTGGTTGCACAAAATCGTTAAAGGATTATTTCAGGCACTGCTAAGGGCTGTGAAGAAAACGAAACTGGATGACAAAAAAAAAGAAAACTGGGTGATGAGAAAGTGACTGTGGGGACCTACTTTTCATTGAGAAGTCAGAAAAGCCTCACTGAGGAAATAGCAGTCATAGCTGACATTGGTTACCATTAACAGCCACATTTCATGGGAAAGAGAAGCATGGAGAAGCCCAATGATTTGCCCAAGGTCCCGTCTCACTCCTGGGACATGAAGGATCAGAAGAAGCAGCTGGAAAGCTGGATGGAGAATGTTTCAGGGAGGGGAAATGGCACTGGCAAAGACCATGAGACTGTCTGAGCCTTGGGTGCCCAGAATGGAGTAGAAAGGATTAGAGGGAGTGAGGGAGGTAGGTTACACACTGTGGAGGACCTTGTAGGAAAGGGAAGGATTTGACTTTTCTCCTGAATGCTGTGAGAGCCCTTAATGGATGTGGGTAGCAACCAAACAGTCAGATACAGGTATTTAAGGAGAGTATTCCTATTAGATAATGGAGAACAGAAGTAGGTAAGAGGATAAGAGGGGAATGAGGGCCCATTTGGAAGACTGTTGCAGCCACCTGGGCAAAGAGATGATGGTGGTTTGGTTGTCAGGTGGCAGTATAGGCAAAGAGAAAGCTACTGCTTCAGAACACGGTTTGGCCTTGTGAAGGAGCTTCTCTCCATTCTAACAGCAATCTTTTTCCCAGAAAAGGAGAGAAGAAAAGGAAATATATGGCCTGGGTTAGGACTGGCCTCCTACACAGTGTCTGGGAACCCAGGCTTGACCTTGGGAGGGAGCTGGGGAGAGAGACTAGATGACAAGCCTCATGCGCCCTGTCTGCCTACTATCTCCCCCAGGGCCAACATGCTCAGGGTGCTCAATAAACATTTGACAAATGTAGGAGGGACTCTGTCTGCTACTTCCCTGGAGCCATGGGGGACTTGGAAGTCTTTCCTAGGGACCAACTCCATCCATGGTCCTATTGTGTACACTGGGCTTGGTGCTCAGCTGGCCCAGGTCAAAGAAAGAACACAGCTTTATTGGGAACTGGTTTTCCCTATGGAAGACCACAGAATGAATGGGATCCTTCCCTGAAGAATTTCAAGCCAGCTGAAGAAGCACAATGCATACTCTTGACCTCAACATGCTAAACGGGAGGGATAGAGGCTATGATCAGGAGAGGCCATGTGGGGAGAACTACTTTTTTTGCTGTGGCATCTTCCTGCATCCTCACCAATGCCATGCAAGATGGTTCCCTTGTACCCACTTTGCAGATGGGGAACCAAGGCCCTGAACAGCAGAGTACCCTTATAAGATGCCTGGTCTTCGGGATCCCCTTCCTGCTCTGGCTTGTAATTGGACCAGCTACACCCCACCCTCCATTGAGCTAACCTCGGTCATTCAGACCTGACCTTTTTATGCCACCTCCAGAGTCGCCCATCAAAAGCAGTCTCTTCCTCCCCTTGCATTCAAGGCCCTTCTGCTCAAACTTATCACATGCTACTCCTTTGTCTGATCAACACAGGTTCTGGGCTCTCATCTGCTAGGTTCAGAGAGGAGGATACAAAGCTGGTACTTGACCTCAAGGGGCTGGCAGCATTCCATGGAGGCAGTGAGGAAACCAACAGAAGGTGGGAAGATTTGGTGAGTTGTGGCACTCAGAGGAGTGGCCTCACAGAGGCCAGTGGAGGGGCCAGGGATGGAAGGAATTCTACAGCCAGAGAGAGGCCAAAAGACATTGCAGGTAAAAAAAAAAAAAAAAAAAAAAAAAAGTGCCTCTGCTAAAGCAGGAAATTGACAATGGGTACTCACACTTGATAAGCCTGACTGTGTGTCTGGCACCAGGCCCTGGACATTTGCACACACCACTGAGTACATTGGTGCCACAGACCAATGCTAAGATAGTCTATTTCACAGATGAGGCAACTGAGGTCCTGATAACATGGCTCACCTGGCATCACCCTGCTTGGAAGTGGGGCTCCAGGAAGTAGATCCCCAATCTGGTCTATGCTGGTGAAGCTCTGCCTTGACTTCCCTCTGCTTGCCCAAAGCTTCATGTCCTGTAGCCATAGCACACCCCCTGCCTCTGGCCATGCTGCTCCCTTGCCTGTGACTCTGTCATTCCCTCCCCCTGCCACCCCCTTATCCACCTGGCAAGTGCTAGTCATTCTTAAGAACTCAACTTACCACCATCATCTGAGGAAATTGACAGCCTGCTGTGCGCTGCACTGAGTGTAAATGCCCAAGCATCCAATACCCCAACTGCCTCTGAGGTCAGAACTGCTATCAGTACTGCTATCAGTCCCATTTATAGAGGAAGGAACTACGGCTCAAGGGATCAATCAACTTTTTCTCAGTCACCCAGTTGGTCAGAGGCTTGAGCCCAAGTCTGCAACTGGACTGCGAGGGGTAGACCAAGGTCTGGGAGGCTCAGATGACCTGGAGGGCTCCCTCCCTCCCTCCTGTTCTCCCTCCTTCTGTTCTATCCTATCTCTCTTGCTTCCTCGTTCCTTCCTCCCTTCAGCAACATCCACTGGAGGTGTGTTAATGTGGTGCCGGGCCCCACCCTGCCCTGATTAGGTTGGGCACTCAACAAACATTTGATAAAGGACTGTCCCCTGCCCCAGAGCAATGGTCAAATGACTGGACAAACGATATTGCCACTGGTGTTAGTAGAGAGGTAGGCAAGGCCTCGTGGTTCAGGCTACGGAGAAAGGAGGGTGACTAGAATAGGTCCAGAGAGGACAGAAGCAGAGATGGCAGACGGTGGAAGATAGGTCTGTCCTGACAACGCTGGGTAGCTGGAAAACTATGGTGCTGCCAATAGCAACAGAGTCCTTGGGAAGTGGCAGCATTTGTCTGTGGGCTTGGGGATGACAATTACACTCCAGCTGCCAGAGCCAGTGGGCCAGGTTCTATGGCCCCAATTCAGAGTCCAGGCTAGAGTCACACAGGCCTGGGCACAAGTCCTTGTGTGACTCTGAGCAGTTTCCTTATCTACAGAGGACGGTGCCCGCCTCCCTGGCTGTGGTGAGGATTCAGGGGCTAGGCGTGTAAAGTACAGGTGGGGGCAGGCTGGCCACCCACAGAGGCACATGCCTGAGGAGCTAGGCTAGGGCTGCCAGGGCGAGAAGCCAGTCCAGCAGGCCAGGGGCCCCAGCCAGAGCGTTGGAAGCTGGCGTACAGTGCCCCTCCCTGCCCAGAGGATGTGGACCATCCAGAGCAGGCTGTAGGGCCCAGGAAGTGGAGGCAGAGAGCAGCATGGCCCTTCCCCAGGTATCCAGTCCTATCCAGGACGGGACAGTGCTGGGGTGCCAGGCTTCCCCATGATCTAGAGAAAGAAGGCCTGCTTGGGATCCAGCCGAGTAAAGCTTCCTCTCTGAGCTCCAGATTCTCCGCAGGCAGAGGAGAACTGTGATGGAATTATGAAGAGTTGGTCCGGAGGGGTGTGGGCCTGCCCTGGGCGGGGTGGGCATGGGAGAGCGCCAGGGCAGGCAGCCAGAACACAGCGCTTCACAGGTCCCTCTGCCTGAAATCCGATCTCCGCTCAGGGCAGACATCACACACTCTCTTATCTCAGTTCTCTCGGGGAGCCTGCTCTGTTGGCTTTTGCTCCCCCACAGCACACACCCCTCATTCACAGCACTTGCCCAAGCTCTGAGTTCACCACATTCCTTTGCTGTATTTGTGTTTGACCTCCGCATCCTCCCTCAGACTGCAAACTCCCTGAAGCCAGAGGTCACATCTAGCCGGTCTGCCTCTGTCTGCCTCAGCCATGCGTTTATTCAGCAGCTACCATGAGCCAGGCCCTGTTCCAGATGCTGATGCAACATCAGAGAACAGGAAGAAAACACATGGACCCCAAAAGAAGGGGAGTGGGGTGGAAAGCTGGGATTGGTATAGCTGCAGAAGTTAGGGAACTTAAAATCTTTTTTGTGGGTCTTCAGAGTGGAGCCCACAGCCCCTATTAAGGCCAGGCAAGCTCTGCAAAGCTCGATGTTTGGGTGGCAGAGCTGAAATAGGGCCCAGCCAGGCTGGCACAGGAGGCTGTGAACCAGCTTACCTAGCATTCCAGGCACCATGACCACAGAACCCAAAGGTCACGAGCTGGGGCTCTGGGGAGAGGCAGCACGGAATACCGGGCTGGTGATGTAGGTGAGCCAGGGTGTGAAGGGGCACATGCCTTCTCCCAGGGTCACAGACAGTTAAGGTAGCATGTGTGTGTGCCAATAATATGTAGGAGGATCTCTAACCCAAAGGTTTTCAAATTTGTTTCTAGCAGTAAATCTCTTTAGAACACTATTAAACCAAAGTTGCCCTGACTGGTGCAGCTGAGTGGGTTGGGCATCGTCCCACAAACTAAAAGGTTGCTGGTTCGATTCCCAGTCAGAACACATGCCCGGGTTGGGGGCCAGGTCTCTGCTCAGGAGCATGCGAAAGGCAACTGATTGATGTTTCTCTCCCTCCCTTTCCTTCTCTCTAAAAATAAATAAATAAAATATTTTTAAAAAAACAGTGTTGAACCAAAGTCTTCCTTAGACTCTGATAAAGGACACTACTGAAGCAGTAGTGACAGTGTCTCCCCTTCAACTCCTGGCACACCCTCTCCAACCCTGAGAGTCCATAGTATTTCCCAGGAAGCTGGAGCCCTAAGGAATCCAGTCTGAAAACCACCCGTGTACCAATATTCACAACAGCACAATTTGTAATAGTCAAGTGTTGGAAGCAACCTAAGAGCCCATCAGTAAATGAGTGGATCAAAAAACTACGGTACATTTACACATGGAATTT